GCTATGAAAGAGCCAAAGGGCATCAAAAGTTGCAGCCAAGAGGAGTCAAGGATTCCTTTTGGTCAGAAGAATACTCACACGTAGTATAGCATGCAAGGAATGATTAATACTCCCAGACAGGGGATGGGCATGCCCAGGCACTCCAGGATGTATCACTCTTGTTGGACAGGTACAAGCTGATGAGACAAGCTGTTTTCAGTAGATACAACAAGCTTGGAAAGTATCACATTTATTGTGTATCCTATGTACCATGAATTTGCTTATGCATAGTGCACCCTGAAAAAGTCAGGTTCACCATGTCCCTCTAGAGGGTTGATGGAGCACACATACATGAAACTTGTAGTAAACTGCAGTTCACAGGCTTAGGATCTCCAGAGAGTTTGCAGCTGCGGGACATCTGGCAAATACTGAGACTTTCCAGATTCTCACTGGATGAGAGAACATGCACAGGGCAAGGTGAAGAGCTGGTGGCACAAGGCTTTGGATAATTTTCAGTCAGGAGGGGGGGCCAACATGGCTGTACCAGACATCTTATCATAAGGTGTTTTTTCTACATCAATGACTGCATTGCAGTGTAGAGATACCTAAGCTAGCTGTGGTAGTAGTAGCACAACACAAACTATGTTTGCAAGTAGTGCAGCCTAACAGGAGTGAATCTGTAGAGCACATAGTTGGTGCTGAAGACCTGAATTCTACATTGTACCATCTAATGTTGGGTTTGTGTGTTTGTTTTAATTCAGATTAGCTCTCTTTCAATCCCAGGACATGAATGCAGTTTGCAGCAGTCCACTGAGTCTGCTCCTGGAGAAATTCTTTGAGGTTAGTTTAAAATGGATCCAGTTTGCATAGTGCAAGATTCCTCCACAGTAAGAAAAGAGAATGCTAAAGAGAGACTATTGGGAGAGTCACTGGATGAGTACTCCTCATCCAGACTAGAACTCTAATGTGAATGTCCCCAGAGAAGTCAGCATGAACTGATTTAGCAATCCAAGCAGTTGGATTTGTTGGTCTATGCAGATGTCCATGCTTGCACAGCAGAACCGCTGGTGGTGTCTGAGCTTGCCAGCTCAATTCACTCCACAGTGCATTGCAGGCTTTAGCCAAGATCAAGAGTGATTTTAGCAACATAAAGAGTCCAAAGGTCGGAAAAGAGAAAAAATTTTAGAGCTGCTCTCTTACTGTGTGCTGGTATTGAATCTTGCTGACAAAAACTGATGTGTGAAAACCTTAGGCTGATGGTTTCAAAAGTAATCTTTGTCCTGGTGTCAGCATTTTGAGTTATAAGGCAAGAGAATGTAAGGAAGCCAAACTGAGAAGCCATTTTTGAAGATTTCAGCACAAAAGACTTGCCTAAGCCCACACAGGAGGTCATAGGCAGAAACATACAACAGTCATCTAAGAGGCAATGATCCAGGATTTTGAAATTATGCAGAGAGAATTAGAGTAGTATGGAGGATTTATACCTTTAGTAAAATAGAAATAGAATTTGCTGTTCACACTAGCAAGGCATATTACTGTTGTTGTCTGGGTAAAACCAGGCTTCAGAATTTGAAGCTGAAACTGCTGAAGATTGCTCCATTTTACATTTTAAATTGCCTTTTGTTTTTAATCTTTGGGTAAAGTAGCTTATTTCTGGAAAAACATACAAACCTATTTGCATTTAAAAAAATATTTAAATAACTAAATGCTAATGGAAGCAAATGTCCGAGGAAAGAATACAATGTAGATATAGCTGAAATCAATAACATTATGCTAAGATCGCCACCATTTGCAAAACTTCAGAAGAAAAGTAAGTTACAATCAGAGGATAAATGTCACAGGCTCTCATCGATGATCTTTATACAGGTGATATTGAAAGCAAATGCATTGACGCTATTGACACACAGGCATATGGGAAATGAGAAAAGGTAACGCAGAAACATATTTGTCAATGCCGTATCTCCTGAGTTACGCAGATGCAATTGTGTGACACACCCTGCAGTAAAGAGCTCTGGAGTCTTGAAGACGGCAGTCAAATTTAGCAACAGGTTCTTGAGATGGGGGCAGAATCTCATGTCAGAGTTTGCTGAAGTTACAAAACATACACTGATCATCTTATCTGGTGAAATATATGTATCTGTTTCCATACACAGCAAGCAAAATCACATTACTCTTCACTCACATTTCTAGATGGGTATTTGTTTGTCGATGGCTATTTTTAAAGCAAATAGAAATTAATGTTGTCTTTGCATAAAAACTTGTAGATGTTTGGATCAAGAGCTCCAAATGAATGTTTTGGCTAATCCAAAATTTGTGCTACTTTTTTTAATCCTTCATATATAGATGCGCCTGAACTGTTCTGGCTTATGTGAAGTTTGTCTGTGACTTACACGGAATGGTTGACTCAGCTTTTAAAGGCAATAATTTAATTTGTTCCTGCAATTCATCTTAGGTTGCCTTCAGATTTGTACAAGACAACGTGATTCAGGATATTTGAAATAATCACTGTGATGAAATACTGGATGATAGGAATGCAGCCTGCTGCCCTGCAGATGAATTCTGCCTGACAGGTAACAATTCCCAATCAATTCAAGTATCTTGCAATCTTAAGTATTCTGCCAAGAATCAAAAATAAGGGAGATGTGGGTAGCATCACCACATAGCCCTAAAATGCAGTATTCCCACAGCTAGTAGCAGACACTGAGTTTGCAAGGCATCAGGGCTGAGCCTTGTCAGGTTTGCTGTCTTTAAACTTTTCTTGACCTCCCTCAACTTTGTTTTACATGGCTTAGCTCTAACAGCGGTTCTTCTAATTGAAATTAGAGTTAGTTTGGTTGTAATGTGGAGCTGCAGACCGGTGAAGAAAGAGTCAGATGTAAAAGCATGTTAGCAAACATATAAACTGATGTTATGCAGATCCTAGTGGGAAGAAGAAGCCATTAACATGAACATCATGGTCCCTGCAGCGACCAATTCCCGATGGTGACAGCTCTCCATAATATCCCAAAACACCGCCATTAGAATGAAACCACCAACCTTGGGACCTAGCAGAGCAGGGGAAAGGTGAGGATAATATCAGGAAAAGGAGTAAAAACTAGAAAGTGTGTATAGGTTTTAACTGTAGTATTATTAATATTACCTTCTTTTTCTGCCATAACTGTATCTGCTCTAGTAATGGTTCTTGTGTTAGACTCTTAAGATTCAGTTATACTAATTATAAATTCTTGGGTTTATATATATGAGGTGTGTTTCCTCTTTGCCCATAAACAAGATTTTGAGTGTAACAATAGACAGAGATCAAAAAACAGAGTTTCTAAATGCTTTCTGGGATAAACTTTCAAAGGATCACCAAGAAAGAACATACCTTATATATACATTTCCGTATTCAACAGTTCTGACAAATTATTGCCCCTGAATAAAAAAAACGAAAAATCACAGGAGACCGTGTGCAACAGAAAATAGGTGCAGTTTCAGATTTTGTGGGGAAATTAAGAAAGGCACTTCAAAATTTTTCCCTTGACATCCAAAATACAGACACAAAAAACCTGTACTGCTTTAGTTTCCTTTTATGTTGTTCATCCAAAGAATATTTTTTTTTCCTTTATCAAAAAAATTAATATTTTGGCTCACGAATGTGAAAAATTTGGCATGTTTTTCACAGTAGATTGAATAAATACAGAGATTTTCCAAGGGTGAGGTAAGGAGTGTGTACAGATCAGTAATATTTTCCTCTATCAGTGGGCAAGCGACTCTGTGCAATTGGGTCAGAGCAAGAATGACTCTTAACTATGTAATCTACTCAGTTTATTCCGTATTTTTAAGCTTAAGAAGAAGTCAGAATGATCATCCATGTTTGTATGATCTTCTCAGTAATTAAAGTGAGGTTCACACCAGGCCATGCGTTCTGAGATGAGCTTGTGCTATTAGCAGCTTTCATCTGCTTCCCTACCATTTGTTTTCCTGTATGCACAGATGAATATTGCCTCAGGAAAAAGATCTGTAGAAAGTCCTTCACTTGCAGATTTGTAGAATAAACTATTTGGATCTCAGCGCAAGTATTTGCTCTCAGTGCACGCGCATAATTTTCCCGTGAATGGGATTTATGTGTGCACATCAAAAGAGTAAAATCCCTAAGGGCTCAGTTTAAACCAACAATAGCAAAGAAATTCAGGAATCTCTCACCAGAGCATGCCCTGCTTTGCCTATTTTATATCACGCAGACTTTGAATGAAATCTGCAGCAGCCAGGCAAAACAGGACATGCATTGGCTTTACGGTTGTTCATTTTTAAAGGCTTAAAATTAATCTCTTAAGAACTCACTGGCTTCCTAATGAGAGCACATCACCCATGGGAGATAGTGTTGGTGATAGCTGGATGCATGCAAGGTGAAGGGGTGCTCACCCCCACATGCTTGTGTGGCAGCAGCGTGGGCGTACTCACAACCATTACTCTTAACAGGTTTTTCCTGGATATGAAGGGAAAAGGCTGCAAAGTACAAAGGAGGTGCTGTGGAGGTGGCATTAGCTCTGTGATGAGGCTGGGGCTGGGGTAAGGGTGCCTGCGTTTTGGACCATATCTGTGCTGTTTCTGAGCTGCAGAGGCCTGATCTATAGGTCTGAACGAGAGGCTGAGAGCAATGGGTCCCCCACTGCGGGGGCTGGCTTCTCAGGATGCCACTGCTGGAGCCGGGGGATACTACTACTACTACTACTAATAATAATAATAATAACAGCAACAATAACAATAATAATACCACCAATAACAATAGAATAAAATTCTATGTAACTATATGAAATTATATGCTTAAAAATAATTAATTATATTCCACTATTTTCTAATTTTATATTCTTAAGGATAATAATAATATTAATCCCAAATATTCTCCTCCTGCTCAAAAAAAACCCCAAAAACCTTCAAAGGGGAATAATAATAGCCAGAAACCCCTGAGCACAAAGTGATGCGGAGGGAGGCGCCGGCCCCGCCCCGGCCCCGCTCAGCCCCGAGCGCGGAGCGGTGCGGACCGAGCTGCGCGGGCCGGAGCGGAACGAGGCGGAGGCGGAGCGCGGCGATGTGCAGGATGTCGTTCAAGGTGAGCCGGGCGCCGGGGAGAGAGGCGGGGGGATGCGCCTTTGGGTTCCCGTTTTGCGCTTGCGGTGCCGGCAGCCCGTGAAGTGCTCCGTCATATTCATGGGTTCGGGGATTGATTTGATTTTTTTTTTTTTAGGAAAAACGAGGGTGGTTTAGGGCGGAGGGAAAGAAAACAGCAGCGTCCTTCCCGGGCTATGGGGTGCACTGGGAGTACTGCGGTGGCAGCTGATAGAGCGGACGCTTTCCGCAGCTGACAGCCCCAAAAGGGTGCGTGGCTTGTGTTACATAAACTGCGAGACTCCGTGGAGCGTAAAGCTGGCTTTAGGGTGGCCGGGCTCCCGTGCTGTGGGTTTTGGTGCAGTCAGGAGCCTCCTCTTCACTTTTCCAACCGTCTCCGCTGGTGCTGGTTGTGTAATAGTTAGGAGGCAGCCTTTATCCGTGCTCTTCCTTTCAGGCTGTGGTGTCCACTGAAGCCAAGCTAGTTCATTCCCTTTGCTGGCTCTGAGTCCTGTCACTTTTTGTACTTCTTCCATCCAAACCCATGCAAGAGCTGTCATTTCAAAAGATTGCCTGAAATAAGTTTTTTAATCTGAGGACAGGATTAAAAAGGTTATTTGGCAAAGAAGGAAGCAAGCAGCAATTTACTAATTGTGTTAACAGATAATATTTATGATCGATGTACATCATTTCCTTAGTTATGCACTTTCTGGATGCTGTGCTTGCCCTTCTCTTATTGATCAGCAACTCAGTGCCAGTCCTTTGCCATATTGCTTGTGCAATTACATTACTTTATTTGATGGATTATTCCCTGTACCTGCCTCTCACTCCTGTCAAGTTATCTCCCCGATGGAGTGTTGGTGCTTCAGGGGCACCATGTCAGTTCGGTGGTGGTGTAGCAGGTGGTTTCCACCTGCAGTTATAGCCCTGGCAGGCAGGACAATACCTTTGTTCACAGTGCAGCTCAGCCTTACACTTGGTGGTGAAATCACAGTGTCATGCAATGGTTTGTGTTGGAAGGGACCTTAAAGATCATCTCATTCTAACCCCTCTGTCATGGGCAGGGACACCTCCCACTAGACTCAAAGTCCCATCCAAGCCAGCTTTGGACACTTCTAGGGATGGGGCATCCACAACTTCTCTAGGCAACCCATTCCAGTGCCTCACCACCCTCACAATAAATAATTTATTTTGATCTAAACCTGCCCTCTTCCAGTTTAAAGCCATTTCCCCTTGTGCTGTCACTACATGCCCTTGTGAAAATTTGGGGGCCCTGGAGATGAACATAGTACTCCAAGTATGGTCTCACCAGAGCAGAGTAGAGGGTACCACATTCCTCAACCTGCTGGTCAAACTTCTTTTGGTGTAGCCCAGGATATACTTGGCTTTCTGGACTGCAGTCTCTGTGGTTTATTCCTGTTTTGGTCCTGTAATGGTCTCATACCTCCATTTTTTTCTTAGTCTCAGTCTTTTCTGTCTCTCCATTCTATCTCAGTGAGTTTTTTTCCACCTTTATTTCTCACAAGCATCCACCCTAATGGATGTGGATGTTCCTGGTGGTGCCAGCCCTGTCTTCTTGTATTCTTCTCCTTTTTTTTTCCTTCTTGTTTTTTTCTCCAATCCTTCAGGTCTTATTTTCCATTATGTCTCTGTGAGCTCTTATTCTGTGCCCTATTTCTCACTTTGTATCCCCCCAAGTACTCCTATTCAAGGTGGCTCACTGCTTTCCTGCCCCTCTGGAGAGTTGCAGCCCGCACCTCCCTCTGCTTTATTTCTCTTTTCTGTGTCTTTTTGATTTGCATTTTCTCTTTTTCTCAGAAAACTGTATTTTGCTTTGATCCCTACTATCCCTGTTTGCCACTGTCTATTCACGTTTTCCATCTTATTATTCTACTTACCCATGATGTACCATTTGTTTTCTTTCTCACTATCTATATACATGACTATTCTCTCTTCTTCTACCAGCTTTTGCCTGTCTAACCAACATTTATATCTTGAGTGACCTTTCTTTTTTATCGGGATCCTTCATGTAAGATATATTGCCATCTAATAAAGTACTCTTTGCTCCTAAGTCTCACTAACCTTTTCCATCATATCATGCTTGATCCTGATTTCCAGTTCTTCTTCTTAAAACTTTTCACTCAATTCCTCCTTTCCATTCGGACTGGATTGGAAACTAAGAAAGAAAACAGAATTTTCTTGTATTTTGACAGTAAAAGGAACACACCACTGCCAGGGCTAGTGTTCTCTTTCTCCTCTCTTTTCTTTCTCTTTGCCTACTGCCTCTTTTCTTTCATCTGCAAGACCCTTGTTTAAGAACCGTGCTCTTCCTCCTCAGCTGTTACCCCACTGTCACCTGCCTTTTCTCTGCAAACAGCAAGTTAAAGGTAGCCCAGGGTGCTGGTGGTCACAGCATTTAAATTATATTTTTCTCCTCAATATTTCTAAAATAACACAGATGTATTAGCACAATTTATTTTTTCCTGTATCCCTGCACAGAAATGGTCTTGTCAGATTTATAATATATATTTTCCTCTAGGCCATTTTTGAATAAGTATTTTTTCTAATGTCAATACAGCATGAATATAATGCCAGCTTTTCATCTATGGGCTCTTGTAAAAGCACACAAACAATCAAAATTAATAGAACAGCCAGAGTTTGAAATAAAGCTTTAGAGAACTTGATGAAGTGAAGGAAATTTTATCCTGAAAATTGCTGATGCTGGAGCAAATGACATAATGAAACAAGCTGTTTTCACCAAAGCTATTAACTAATCACTTTTTCAAACATTTATCACATTCTGTTCCAGACTGTCAGTGCTGAGGATCAGTTGTTTAGTTTAAGGATGTTTTGGGAGCAGACTATCTTTATAATAAGAATTACGTGAAAATTTTATCCAGTTAATCTTTTGACATTCAACATACGTCTCAGGGAGATGTATCTGATGAGAACAAGATTGAGTTCATAACTGAACAACAGCAGTCACATCCTGCAGTTTAAAATCCATTTAATGCTCAAAAATTATTCAGTTATTTGGATTATTAATCCCAAAGTAGTGTCTTACATTTTACCTATCAGTGATGTCAGTAATGCTGATATCACCTGAAAATGAAGAGGACAGAGGTATAAATCCTTGTTTGAAAGCAGAAGAGAAATTGCCGCATGGTGCTCAACAGGGCTGTTCTTTATCATCTGAATGATTTTGCACTTACCATTCACTTTAGGAGATAAAATAGCTCAGATTTGTATTTGCTTTTTTTAATCTAATCACTGGATGGTTAATGGTGTGTGTGCTGTATACTCTACTTTTGTACAAGGAATCCCCAGCAATGAGGGAGCACGAGGGGTAGTAGAAGTACTGGTAGCAGTCATTGCAAATTGAGTTGAAAGCACCACAGGGAAAAACCTGGTTTTGTGTCCTTGACACACTGGAGAATTCTTCCATTCTTTGGGTCTGATCCAAAGCACAAGGACAACTTTGCTGAAGAGCTACTGTAGGAACTACGGGGGGTGGGGGGGAGGGGGCAGGGGGGGAAAGAGGTAGGAATTTATGACTCATAAGGCTAAAGACTTTGGGCTTCTATTTCCAGCCCAAGGTAACACTGGACACTTAGTTCTTTTCTCTCCTCATGTGAACTGATGAAAGCAGGTAAGGAGTTCCTAAATATTGATTCCAGTTGCTGCCTACCTGACCAATGAAGGTGGTGGTGGTGTATGGTATGAATAATAAAATGCTACTGTGCCCTTGTAGTGAAAACTGGGCTGGATTAAATAAATCTTTCCCTTTATGGATATATTGCCATACCCCAAAGCTTTCTAAACTTTAAGGGATAGAGTAAGACAATAAAAGGTAAAGAATTTGATTTTCCATTCTGTAAGGTCTAAATATAATTCTTTTGCAATAGCTTTCCACTGAATATCATAGTGATACAGCCAATAAGACAATATTCCTAACTGCCAGCTCTATATATAAGTTATAAATATCTGTCTAATAAATCAGAAGAAAAAGGGCAATATGGGCCACTGTGTGTTTGGGTCAATTGTTTGCATTTACATAAAATTTTAGTGGTTGTAAGGCTAAAGATAGGAAGACACTACAGCACTGCCTGCAAGGAGGATATAAACTGCAAGCTCTTCTTTGATCAACATTATCTACAGATTCTCCAGGGAAATCCATGAGCTGTGAAGGGAAGACCAGAATTTAGCTTATTGGGCTTGCCAAAATATTCAGACTTCTGCAGCTATGTGTGCTGGTACAAGAAATATTGTTATCAATTCATAGGAAGAGACTTATAATTTATTGAATTGTTGGAACTTCTCTCATCTCAAACAGCTGCCTATTTTCAAACCTATGAATATTAAAAATGCATCCCAAGGAAAGTGCTCAGTGCAATGGACCTGAGATAGATTGAGAGTCATGATTTGTCTTGTGTCTGCTGGTTTCTGCAAAGTTTATTATCTGTATGTCAGTGAAGGGAGCAATTTAAGCTCTGCTGTATATGTGCATTTTAAGTATCAACCGTAAAACCATTAAATCCTGATTCTCTACCACATTACATGTGTGCATTGACATTTAGACAAGGAGAAGTGTCTATTACATTTCTGAAGCTGAATGATTGACTTTTATATCCACTCTGCACTCTCTTATGAAGGCAGGATTTACTGGAAAGCAAGGCCCTTGGGTATTTTTGACTCTGTTTTTGGTATAAGTGACTATCAGTGAAGTGATACTTTACTGAACAGTTGGTGGTTTGGGGCCTTATTAAAAAATCAGCAGCATGAGCCTTCTCTAGGATATGTATCATTGCCATCACAGTGTTGTTTCCCCTCATCACAGTGCTTACCTGTCAGGGCAGCATATTGGCAGCTCTTTGCATGGATCAGATAAGGAGGTTAAGAGCAAAGCCCATGGCTTTTTTTCCTGCCCTCTTCCTATGCTGGGACAGTGATAATTTGCTCCTACCCAGGAGAATTCACACTGTGGCATTGTTTCTAAGAATAAGAAAGCCTCAGAAGAGTATTATATTACTATTATTTTGTTCAGCAGTGGCCTGTGTTATCTAGTTTACAGAGTTTCTTAATTTTGCCTTTCATGTTGTCTTGCATACCTAGTAAATGAATCCAAAAGTCTATAAACAGCCAGATTTTCTAGCATCACCCAGGAGATATCACACATGCCCACAGTTACAGGGTGTTAATTCCAGGGAGGAGGCAGACCAAGCAGTCTAGGAAACACATGAGCAATACTTTTCCTGTACTGGAAGTATATATACAGAAAAGAAGGAGATGACAGAAAGCTGACCTGAAACCCAACAGGATGTCCTGCAGCAGGACATGTCAGCAGGATACTTCAGCCTAACTGTGGCCAGCCCCACCACAGAAGCAGACAATACAGGTACCAGTTAGTATGTTGTTTTCTATGATGTCTCCCTGTGGTCTAGCATCATCATCTCTCATTACAGAGCAATTTAAGAGATATAGGCTGCCATGGACATAGGGAAGACTTGAAACAACATGAGGTAGCACAGGAAGGCTAATCTCTTAATTGCACAAAGAAATTAGATTAGCTTCCTTTCTGTGCTCTGGGCTTGAAAGGACAGCATGCTAAGCTGAAACTTGCCTGGCTTCAATGCAGAATGTATGCAATGTGTATGTTTGTCCAATGTATCTTCCAAAATGGTTTATTTCTGCTTTTTTTCTTTTTTCTTTCTTTCTGTTTTTTCACCAGAAAGAAACACCACTTGCCAATGCTGCCTTTTGGGCTGCAAGAAAAGGAAACCTGGCTCTCCTCCAGCTGCTGCTGAACAGTGGACGAGTAGATGTGGACTGCAAAGACAGCGTATGCACACAATGCACCTACACCCACACCACTGATTTTGCATCACTTTCCGTAGTCCACTGTGCAGAGGGTGTGGTAGGAATCTAACATGAGACATTTGAGAGTCTTAAGGCACTTAGGGATGATTTAAAACCTTCTCTTGTCAGGAAGCAAGTTTGAAACTTAAGATCATGATTTACATCAGTGGCAAGGGGTTAAGAATTTGCCAGCATTCAAAAATGTGTCTTACACAGTTATTTGTGGGGCTGACATTTAAAACACAGATCCTAGCACCTCGGGCTTCTCTTTGCAAAGAAATGTCATTGTAGTAATAGATCACAGTGAAGAGTTAGCTCAGTTAAGCCCAGGTAGCAATGATTTTGTCAGCTAGCAGAACTCCTCATGATTAGAAGAACTAGTGGTCTGCTAAATTCTTCCTGCTCCTCTCCAGTATCTCTGGACTGGGCACCAACATGAAGGCACAAGATTGCTAAGCAAAGAGGAGCCCAGACACGTGACAGAGAGATTTCATGGGCATTTCCTTATGGTAATTGACATGGGTTGAAATTAGTTTTGAGATTAGAAATGGGTTGATAATACAGATAGCGACTATTTCTTTTTATTCTGCCTGTAACATATGGTGAGATACTTGATTGTGCTAAGCTGTGTCAAAGAGCAGGAGAAAACTGAGGTTGGGAAGTTCCAGGTTTCTTTCACTTGGCATGGGGACTGACTGACATGGAGTCGTGCCAGTGTTGTACGGGATTAGTGCCATTTCAAGCCTGAAACATGAACCTGCCACAGCTTCTCTCACTTTGAATACCCTCAAAGTGCAAGAGATTTTTTTAAGCACATTGACTTTAACCTATCTTTTCATTTTCATTTCATTTTTGCCCTGTAGGCAAGAATTTGTCCTGCAGTACTTCTGGAGCTGGTGCTATGACTGTCCTTCTGCCAGGGAGGGAAGGATTTTCAGATGGAGGCTTGAAGTAAACAGGACAGAGATCAATGTAAAAAAATAAGGTCCACTACTGCTCGTTTTTTCTCAAAAGAAGACTAACTTTGGTCAAGAATTTTCACACTGCACTGCATTATTAATTGTATCAGATATACACATTTTCTAGACTAAATTATTTTTGTACAATTAAGACCACATACTTCTTTTTTGCAATGTCACCTATTTCTTCTTTAAATTGAAGTGCTGTGTGGGAATGTTTTAGAAGTATGAGTTTCATCCTTACATGCATATGGTTTTCACATATGCTTTTCACATATTGTCCGTACGCCACACACATATAACCTCAATCTTACTTGGTTCACTGGAACAGTGACCTTATAGTGTACTGAGGGAATATATTTCTGGACAGAAGGTTCTCTTTTATAATGTGAGGAGTCACAGAGTGAGTTTGCTCTGATTGTTTGAATAGGGAATTAGTGTTCAAATCACCCAGCCCCTACTCCTGACAGTGACTCAGAATAAGTGACTCAGCTGAGTCACTCAGCTCCTGTGTCTAAGGTTATTCTTCTGGAAATGATGCAAAGATCTTTGGAATCTTGTGATTAAAAAAAGCCTGTGTATAAAAAAACCATTCTTTTCATTCTTGTGGCACTTACTGTTGAGCAATAAGGCAAAGTATTCTTATACATATCTGTTGAACAGTCAGGCCTTAACGCTGCAGGCAAGTCTGTAATGTTTTTGCTTAAACACCTGCTAATTGCTCATTTTCAAAGTATTCTTGATAGTAAGTTTAAAACGATAGCAAGTTATTTGATGATCATAAGCTTCCTTCAGCTTTTCAGAAGAGGTGCTTTCTCTTTCAGACAGCCTGATTCATTGCTGTAGGTGTCTGTTGAAGGTACTGACTTATTTTTCCTTACCCCCAGCTTGGCACAACAGCTCTGATGGTGGCATCTTACTATGGCCACATAGATTGTGTGCGGGAATTGGTGTTGCAAGGAGCAGATATCAATCTGCAGAGAGAGGTAGGAGAAGTTCTGCATTCAAACAGGGATTGATTAAGTGACTGTTTGTTTATAACAAATAATAAAAGACAGTTGTCTGTGGCTTTTTGCCAGTTGCTTCTTTGTCACTTGCTGTGCAGTGCATGTATAACAGGGTCTGTTCTCCTGACGGCATCAGGGAATCAGATATCTGGAGTTTATAATAGAAAATGAGATGCCAGAGGTACATTTAAAAATAACTTATCAAACATTTTCAGCACATATGGTTTGTGAGGGTCAGTTACATCTGAGATGTAAGCCCCCCAGGTTATGCCATTTATGCATTTGCAGTTTTACTTATTGGCATAATAATTTACAGCTCTCTGGATGGGATAAATGATAAGTCCTTTACCTTTTGATTTGCAGCCTGGTCATTAAAATTGAGTAGATGCCATTGGTAGCATGGGGGTTATTTTGACTCAATATGCTTTGGAGTTTCTGCCTCTTAGTCTGAGACAACTCATCTCTAACAATCACACAACCTGATTACCCATACCCTTCCCTGCATCTCTGCTTTGCATTCAAGGCATCTCCTGCACCATGACATGCTTGCTTGTGGAAGGGACATCAGCGACTGGTTTTGGGAAACGGCCTTTCACTCATGCTCCATGCAAATGGTTGTAAGGAGTACTTGCAGTTACTCTGGTCTGTGTGTTGGCTACGCAGAGCAGAATTGCTCTGGGATAACCACAGTTGTACTGGTCCTAAGAGCAGCTTAAGGAGAGCGTGCAGTTACATGGGGTGGCAGCATGTAGTGCAGGACAGCAGTATGCTGGTTGCTCTAACAATACAAGCCAATGTTTCTTACTTTCCTTGGTTACCTGGAACTAGAGCATTAATCTCGTGCTGACATCTGTAAGTTACTGAGTCAGTGAATGCCATGGTTGATGATATAAGTGTCTTTGCACTTACTGGCCTAAACTTGCTCTAACCATGATTGTCAGTGTCTTTCAGTGGGGTCCTGTTCTAACAAAACATGTATTTAAACATGTGCCTTCCCCCAGGTAAATATTGCTTGGAAAGCAGCTACAAAAAAAAAAGTTGAGAACAGTTTTATGGAGCTGCTCATGAGTATCACTCAGGATATACTGATTCAACAAGCCAACAAAAAGAGAAACATTGAAAGCCTCCAAAATCACTCGTTGCAGAAAAGGAGCAAAACAGATGAAGTTTAAGACCTAAAGACCAGTGGCATTATTCTGCAACTAAATCCACATACTCAAACCAGTGCTCTTGTGCTCTGAAGTTGTAGTGAAGCTTGGGGAAGTGAGTGCCCCATAAATGTGTCTCCAGGAACTGAACCAGGTTCTGAACTGGTCTAAAGGGGCCATGTGGTATTGTAAAGGCTTTTGGTACTGGAGTGAATTTCATGTGTAGCTCCCCTTTTCTGCATGTTCTACGTGGGATGAGAGAGCCCAAAGTCAGAAAAACCTGCGTGTCTTTTCTTTCTCTCTTTCTTCCTTCCTTCCCTTTTTTCTTCCTTCAGTCCAACCATTAAAAGCTTACATAATGATTTTTGGGGTCCTGCTTTGCTCATGTGTTAATGACAGTATGTTACACAACTTGAATAAAATACGAGGTTTCAGTTCTTCTTGAATTTTACTCAAGTGTATGATGCTGGACAGATTTCCCAGTGCAATGGGGAGAAGACTGAGTTAAGATACCTAGTGTCTTCTGGAGTCCTCAAAATCATCATTCAGCTGATATTCAACTGATTGAGCTCAATACTTTTTCATTTGAAATATATACTCAGTCATTATTTGCATGTATATTCAGTCAAGTGTGTTATGTGTTTGGAGTTCTTTTAATACATTTTTCTCTTACAGTCAGGTGCAACTCCTCTGTTCTTTGCTGCACAACAAGGCCACAATGATGTAGTGAAGTTTCTCTTCTCATTTGGAGCCTCCACTGAATTTAAGAATAAAGTAAGATGATGGGTCTGTTTTTGCATGCTGATACATTCTGACAATCAAGGCTGTTTTTTCATATTCGCACGAAACATGACAAAACAGTGCTAAGATGATAAAAGGATTTCCTCACTTGAACATTTTCTGAGTAATATGCATAATGCAATACATTGTAAAAATATTAACTTGCGACTAGCTTTTACTACCTAGACTTAATAGCATAAGTTGATCAAAGATCTGTCCCTTAATAGTGATATCAGTCTTTCCTCTTAAGCCATCCTCCAATACACTTGCCAGTCACTTATCTTGGGACCCATAGCATTGTGTTTGAAGAAGGAATAGTTCTTTATCCCACAGTACCCAATTTTTCAAGATACTCTAGACTGTGATTTGAATGATTCCCTCAATCCATACCTGCTTTCTGCAGTCCCTGGAAATGTAGGCTCTAAATACAAAGGAAATTGATGGAACATGAGAAACTCAACTCTTTATGCTCCAGGGGCTAAAAATCCTGAGGTTTTGTGGACAGAGTCCACACATGCCCTTAGAGTAGTATTCCAGTACCCCAGGGAGCTATACTTGTGGCAAAAAGCTCTCTGACCACAGCAGCAATCAGTAATAAAAACATGAATGAAATTGTAGCTGTTCAACACAACAGCAAGTGCAGCTGTGAAACTTGGCAATGCAGAAGGTTGCAATGTTAAATACAGTAGCTGGATTTTAAAGTGCTGAATAATCTCATGTGGGACAGATTTATAGCGTAAAGCTGCACATTAAAATAAGCATTGCTTCTCTGACTTTTATTTCAGGATGTAGGTGAGGCTTAGCAAGATTCAGAAAGGGAATCTTCCCATGCATTCAGCTGGGAAGTCAGAGGCTCATACCTTGTTCTGTCTAGAGTGACAATTACATTTTCACTGAATCTTTCCACAGCCTGTAAACTAGGAGTTTGTGAAGAGGCCAAGACTTGATCCAGAAGGTGAACAGGAGGCTTGGAATTGTCTGATCCTTCATGACAATATATGATCTTTTATGAAGCATGCAAAATATATTGATGTAATACACTAGGGCAGATAAAAGGGAGCAAAGATCTAAATTAAAAAGAAATATTTCTGCATTCAGCTGCTCCAAATGGCTTCCATCTTTGGACAAATGCAAATTTGGGCTCTTCTGTTGCTCACCTTGAAACTTTGCCCCCAGCTCCCCTTTTCCTGCCTGTCTCTTCTTCTGAATCCAGACCTAACTTGGCCCATATGCCTTTCCAAAGTATCTTTTAAGCTGCAGGATGCTCTTCCTCTCCAGACTACAGCTTTCTGCCACTTCCACACCAGCTGGTCATAAGACAACACCAACTCCCACTGGACATGAGAAACTGGTGTGTGACGTGCATGTGAGGCTCTTTTCCAGTAGCATCACCCAACATACCTGTCCAAGTATTCCCTCCTTCTCATCCTTCTTCGAGAGGTGTATTGGTCACTTCAGTACTCACAGTATGACACAAGCTATAGTGCCTGAAAAGGCTCTCAGAAGCTGAACAAAGGATACCTGAGTTACTATGAACCTGTGTCAGATGAAAGTGGCACTTATTTAAAAATTGAGGTAGACTATCATGTCCATGCCCTCTTTGCCGTGAGGATCTTCTCTCTCTGGACAGTAGTATGAGGGCTTTGTGACATGCACCATTAATGCTGGGACCTATCCTGGAAATTTCCATGTTCATTCTTTCACTCATTCGTTGCTTGGGTACTGCAGCTCTTTTGAAATGAAGATCTAGAACAGGAATCCAAATGTTTACAGCTTCCAGGCTAGACTTTGGTAACCCACTGAATTTTTAGACTGAGACTGGGTGAGAAACCAACTACTTTGTGCAGCAGTGTGCGCTTGAGCAGGAGGCATCAGTGAGATGTAGTGCATTGACAGTGCACATCTTCTATTGGCCTGCTAGTGTGGTTTTGTATCAGTCCAATTTTCTGATTCAATAATGTGGTTTTCATAGCCTGAAATTATTCCATTGTTCTGTTAACACGTGACCAAGGTAACAGGCTCCTCCATCCCTCCCAAACCCCAGAAACGATATGGAAGAAAATATGTCTTTTCAGGTTAGAAATAAGGCATTTTCTGACTAAGACAGTAAGGTGGGAGCAGCACTGGAAAAGGTATGGCTGATCCTGGCTGTTTTTAAAGGGCACTGCAAAATGGATCCATTTGCAAAGAATATATATATTTCTATTATAAATGAAGACATGGAATTAAAATAAGAAAAAAATTTGAATGTGTCTTAGAAAACAGAGATTTTAAAGCAAAGAAATGCAAAGCCCAACATCTTTTCATGGACTTACCTGTAAATTGTAATTCCTACATTTGTTACTCATATACGAGAGTGCTGGAGAACTATCTTAATATAGGCATGCAATTCTTGTTACCCCTTGTGTCATTAGAGTTGACATTTACTATGGCAGGCAGAGCAAGCATTCAACACAGTGTAATAAAATAATTAGCAATAAAAGCTGATGTTATAAAGAGAATGGATAGTACTACTGAAGGTTAATTATTATATATTATATATTTATATTAGTCAATAATATTATTCTGCATTGTCCCAGTCTGGCATCCATAAAAGTATGTAACATAGATGGAAAGTTTTTTTCTTTTATTCTGATACATGTTATAAACATGTGGGTTCTTAAAAGGGTTTGTATGGTGGCAAACCCTGTTTTCTGAGCAGTACTGCAGGTCAAGCGGTATGTTAGAGGCTATTTTTCAGCAGGTAGTGATTGCAGAAGATCAGTTCCCCTCCCCTGTAGCATATTTCAGAGATGGTAAAACAACATATAATTCTAAGCTACTTTCAGGTGACAATGACAGGCAAAGGAAAGGTAGGCAAATAGACAGAGTGGTCTTACTGGGTGCTGCTGTTTCAGTTACTTATATTGGAGATTGGCAGCTGCTGTTATGTGCTGTCAGTGGGGAGGACAGACTGGGCGTAAGAAAAATGATTTCTGGGGAAGAATTGCAGAGGTAGCTGAGAGAACTGGCTCCTATCTGAGCTGGAAGGGTTTCCCATGCAGGAGTAATAGAAGCTTCATTGTGTCAGGAAAACAGGATATGAGCATGACATGAACCCAAGGCCACGTGCTTTCTCTCAGAGGCTGCACCGACAGCCTCCTGCCCACTGCAGAAGGGCGAGTGCCCCGGGAGCGCCTCAGTGCTTGCTCACGTGTCCAGCTCCCACTTGCTACTCTGCTCAGAGTTTCCAAGAAGCTTGCCAGTACCAAAGATGCTGCTTCAGCTTTTTACTTGTCTCAGCTGAAGCCAAAAAGGAAAGAGGGAATCACGTGGCTGAAAGGGATGTTAAAACTCTGTAATTTACTTTTTTTCCCTCCATAATTTATCTGCTTTCCCATGGTCTGTAAAACATTGGGGTGTCCAGCTACAGCCTTCTGGAGTAAAGTGTAAGAGAAAGCCAGATGGAAGCTTTGAGCTCAGTTGTCCTCCTGATCAGGGACCAAATCTTTGAGCCAAGAAGTTGTTACCCAGTTCTTTCTGACACAGTAAATATTTGACTCAGAGTGGACAGATGGAAGAAAATATGCCTTTTCAGGTTAGAAATAAGGCATTTTCTGACTAAGACAGTAAGGTGGGAGCAGCACTGGAAAAGGTATGGCTGATCCTGGCCACTGGGAACCACCCAATACTTTTTTTCTGACCCCTGGACTCTGATCAGGCTGATCTAGGAAAACTTGGTCCCTCTAATCTGAAAGATCCGAATGGTATATTCTGGAATTGTGTTATTCTTTGAAAAAAAATGTCTCTGTCTAAAACCGTTCACTGGATTGAACCAAACACTTGATCAGGATCTCCATTTTGAGTCACTTAGACATCTCTTGGGAGGTAGTGTTGCCCTTAAACCCCAAGCTGTCACATCTCCCAGGGTGGGATCACACATTTGGATTCCAAGCTGGTCTTTAGCTCTGCCATGCTAACTGTGGTTAGCTTTGCAGGCCTGTCTTTTATTTGGGACCTGTCATTTGGTTCCCTACAGAAATTATGGTAATAACCAGTCAATCTTCTAGAAATAAGAAGAGTTTATTGAAAACACAAAAATTTTAGAAAACAAAAGTCAGATCATAAAATAATAAACAGATTTTTCCCATATGCAACTCACTGAGCATGCCTATTTACCCTCCATACAGGAAACCTCAACATTTTTAAGGTTCCTAAAACTCATCCTTCCCTGCCTCTCCACAGAGAACCTCCAATCTGGGTATCATAGTTTCTCTTCTTAATTCACTAACCTTTCTCCCTCAATTTCCTTCACGGGGACGAGTCTTTAAAAATGTCTGGGTTTTGTTTGTAGCCCTCTGATCTGGTAAGTCACCACTCAAGCAAACATGGCTTTTGGCTGGTTGGAGACAGGAAACAGGTTTCGCAAAGCTATTAGCTTTTCCATTGTCTTTTAAGTGTGTATAAGGTGTTTTTTAATCCAGGAACAATAGTGATTGTTTTTGTGTTTTGTTCCAGCAGTTCCTATTAAATTACAGTAGTTTAATTTGGCAGGAATGTCTAACGTCTCATTGTATCTATAGAGAAACTTAACTCCACTGACCTGATTACACACTATATTTACTCAAATAATCCAGAATTAGTACGCAATCCTTAGACTGTCACACAACAGCCTCACATCTGTGATTTCTCTGACACTCAAGCGTTCTTTGCTCTTCAATGTCATAGTGAGGAAGGGTAAATATGAGGTTTTGAGAATAGCTATAAACAATGCCCGTGGGTTATTTCAGTCATGTCAGAGCTTGAGTTTTCATGAGGCTAATATAGCCATGAAATAGAACTACCGACTAATAAATTTGATTGGCACTTCCCATTATAAAAGATCCATTTAGGCCATTCAAGCTGTAACTGCTTTTGTGGATATCTGTCTATGTGGAAAATTTCAGACAAAACTTTAGAGCTATTTCAGAGAACAAGTCTGAGAGAAAACACACTCTTGTGGCCACATTAATAACAGCTCTAGAAACCATTTATCTGAACTTTAGATAGCTTATCTTGTGGAGGAGAGGCTGGAGACTGGGCGAATGCAGGGGAGGAGAGAGAAGACCTGTGGTGTGGATGTTTTGGGCTGTGCATCATCTTTGCACGATGGCATGGTTCTATCCCAAGCAGAAGAACTTTCTCTCCATATCAGTGTCAGAAATACTGGTAATTTTTGAGTGGGTCACAGCTCACTTAAGATGGCAAGACCTATGTTTGCTATCTCATTTGTTTCAGTTGGTTCAGAGTCAATTGCCAGCAACCCTGAGGTGCTTCCCTTCTCAGATGACTCCCAAGGGAGTGTCTCTACAAGCAGGATTTGATGCATGTGCCTAGGTCTCCCTTCAGTGGTGATGTGCGGCAACTATAGCTGCCTGGGATTGATCCTACCTGCAGGGATTGTTTCTTAAGCAGAGGTAACAGGGTCATGGGTTTGGTCCAATTCACACTTCTGCAATTAGCTAGCATACTTTAAAATTCTTCCCCCTTGCCCTCTACTTGTCTTCAGTCCAAAAATCCAAAATGAGAGGCAGGACACAACAGGGCACAAGGTTCTGGCCAAAGAAGAGCAGATGATCCATAGGCTTTGGAGCAGGGGAAAGGTGTGCTGTTCTTCCATCAGTGGAAGAGCTTGGCAGGCTTGAGGGATTTGGCTGTAAAAGCAAGAGACATGGAGGTGCTTGGAGTTGTGAAGGGAACAAAACTTCTAGTGGCAAGGCAGAAGATGAAGAAAAGACCTAGAATTTTCTTAGTTCCTATCCCTCCTAAAAAACTCAGGAAAAATAATGACAGAGCCAAGTTTAAAGATTTATGTGGCAAGACTTGGTATTAAAATTATGAAAGATTCAGTAGCTAGTCACTATAAAACTGCCGTGAGCCAAATTCTGAAAAGCCTTAAAGCCTTTGGCACGTGCCCTCTCACCTGGCTGTACCCATTCTTTGCTTTTTCACAGGATGGAGGTACGGCTCTTCTGGCTGCCTGTCAGTATGGTCACGCAAAAGTAGTGGAAACTCTGTTGAAGCACGGCGCCAACATTCACGATCAGCTCTACGTGAGTTATTCAACACACATAATATTGACAGTGATGGTGGTGGAACAAATGTGCTGTTGGTTGGACAACAGCAGACACTCTGGCTCCAGCACAGAGAGGCATTTGCCAAATGTTGTGGTTTTATAGTACTCTGCTCTTCTAAGATGTGAATTTTGTTAACTGTCTGCTTTTCATGATGCTGAGCAAGTAGCACAAAATCACAAAAGGTGCTTTGGCTGCCTTTTGGTTTGGTGTCTGTATGTACTAAATCTGGGTCTGAACTATGTTATTTGGTATTTGTGAATCTCCAGTTTGCCAGTGTTTTGGGCAAAGAATGGTTAAAGTGGCTGAACTGATGTTATTTAGTTGACTTTTCAGAAAGTTGGATTGAGCCAATGAAGCTCTGGATTTAATTTACTCCAACAGAGACACAGATAAGTCGAACTTTTCAGCATTCAACAGAAACAAGTGGCAGATTTTCCCTCTGCTTCCCACCACTCTTTCCTACCCCAGGGCACTCAAGACTGACAAAGAGGAAGTTTTTCCCCCAGGATATACAATTTTTTTTAGCTGTTTCCACTGGCTTTGGATCTGCAGGATGCTGTTGCACTCTCAGTTCCCAGCTGAGGGGCTGCTGACTGCAGAAGTCACCAGCGCACTGGGGGCTGTGCACTGGGGGCTGGAGGCTGTGCATGGTCATATGGGGGGTCCCCATCTTGGTGCTGCTCTCACCCTTTATTTATAAAGAAGGCTGTTCCTCCCTTTCTGCTGTGCAAATAGCAATTGTCTTTCTAATCTGAGAGCAGTGATTCATACCTCTGTACGGTAATCCCAGGGGTTGCCACTCAGTTTAAAAATAGCCATGCTGCCACACCTGCAGACACTTACCCAGGGGTGAAGGCAGTAAAATAACTTCCTTGTTGTCTCTCCTGGAAATGAGCTATATTTGCAATTGGATTTAGAAATGTATTTTTATTGCTCACAGATATTGGGCAAAGCCAGTCAGAAACAGCTGCTTAAGAAAATAAGAACACAATCTCTTGAAAATAAGTGTTTTGTGGGACATGGCCAAGCTGCATTTGCAAAGTGGTATCTGGATGGCAGTCTCACTGGCAGGCAACCAAATGAGAGGGATTTCCAGCATACCTTTGGATACTCCTTCCAAAACCATTGAGATCTATGTTTTAGTCTTAAATAGACTCAGGTGAGGGTTCAAGAGGGCAGAAGACAAGAGAATAACTTAATTAAGAAGTATTTCTTGCAGAAATATGTTATAGCCTCAAGACAGCTTTCTCATTGCAGTATCAATTCAAACCAAATAGGTGTCAGGGAATGCAGGATTCTCCATCTTGATTGATGCTACAATAAAGAGCTTTTTTAATATTACAGAACCTTGTTTACTTTTTAAATTGAAATGTTCTCACTATATCTGTCTCTGGGGGAAGCCTGCAAAGCCATCACACTTTTTCTCACATAGCAACCAGAGAAAACAGCCCCTCAGAGAGCACAGGAGTGTGCATTTATAGTGCCAGCAGACACCTCTTTTGTTTACCAGGACATTTGTCTTGCAATCAATGTCAGACACTCTAAATTCAGTCCCTGGGGCGTTATATTCAGCTCATGCTTCACCAAGTCTGTGCTGAGTTTTGCAGGAAGAGGAGTAGCTAAGCACTCTTTCTGCAGACAACAGCATTCAGTCCCAACTTGGTGATATGCCAGTGAGGTCAACAACAGGCTTTCATTAAAATGCCCTATCTTTTGTGATAAGCATCTGCCTGAGTTGGCATGAGATGTGTACTTGCACATCTGAGATGCAGTGAGGGGGTTCATTCATGTCTCTATTTAAACTGAGTCTCAGCTTCTGGAAAAACTTGCCCGAGCACGTTCTGTGCTGAGTACTGTGGATATATGATGGGTAAACACCTGTTCCACCCTCAATACAGATTTCTATTTCTAGTTGGTTGAATGGATTATAACGCTGTTTGAATATGTTTCATCAAAAAAACTTAATGATATACGACGTTTAATTTTCTTCCCAAGGGAGAAGTTTCTGTGAAGTCAAATTCTGAGAACATCTGCACATGAAAGACATATAGAAGAAAAATAAAATCCTGTATTTGTTCAAAATTTGTTCTTTCACGAGCTTTTTGTAGGAAAATTCTGGTTTCTGATAGGGCTATGAAATACTTTTAGATTGCTATATTACAGGTGAAGTCTCTTCTACAAGATGTGCCAGAGCAGTGACATGGTAGTTGCTGGGGAAGCACAGGAGTATGGCATACTCCTTCAGCCTCAAGAGCAGACTTCAGTGTTGAGGTCTCCAGTTTTGCGAAGTACTTGAACATATTTTCACCATGTGTCTATGTAGCAGAACACTTTGCATGAGCGTATAAAAGTTAAATGAACCTATATTGCTATACAGGAATTAATTTCTAGTTATGTTGATCAGTGCTTCAATGAACTAGACTCTTGGTATTCCAGACCCAGAATTTAAAGCTCAGTTTGATATACTTGTGTATACTGAATGAAAATGTTACTATAGTTTATTATGAACTAGACTTTGGATTTTGGTAATTATTTCTTGAGCATGGCTTTTTATCTTCTGTTACACAGCATACTGACTTAAGAATGAGAACTTGATTCAGTTTGATTTGGTTTTGTGTAGAAAAATGGCATCATTTCAACACAATATAAGGTGGATGTGTTTGTTCTTAGGATGGCGCTTCTGCAATTTTCCTGGCGGCACAAGGAGGCTATCTGGATGTCATCCGACTGCTGCTTTCTTCAGGAGCAAAGGTTAACCAGCCACGGCAGGTATGCTCAACACCTCAGGGCAGAGCTGGGTTCTAATTTTTTACAGTTATGAAAAATTAACACTGGAATTTTGTCCAGGCATTAGGTTACCATGGAGGTGTTTCACAAGAAGGGAGTTCATGGCTGTGCCCACATTCTGTGTTTTAGTTCAGATTGATAATGTGATTTTGAAGTGAGTATCTCAGTCATTTCTGCTCGCACGCAAACTAGACCATTTTTGGAAGAAGTGAAACTGAAAGCTCTGTTCCAGGTCGGCACCCATTGTGCTTACACCCCATGAGTCACCACCCCTAGAGGTATTTAAAAGATGTGTAGATGTGGCACTTCGGGACATGGTTTAGTGGTGGACTTGGCACTGCTGGGTTAATGATTGGACTCTATCCTAGAGGTCTTTTCCAACTTAAATGATTCTATGATTCTAAAACAGATCAAACCACTGACTGCTCATTTGAACAGGTTTGAACTATGTGCACGTTTGGGCCAGGGACTAAACTAAGTCAAAATAAAGCTGTATATAATAATATAAGGGCCTTGCACTACCTTTTGCAACTACTGATCCCTTTGTGTGGTACCATGTTACTTGTGAAGGTCTACACAGCCTACCACATCAGTGATTTCTTTTGGAAATTCTTGGAAAAGCTTTTGAAAATCATGAATTCTAGGGGGAGTATATTATCTATATATTGAAATCTCCAGGGCTTCAGTACTGTGGCTTTGATGTCAAAGTTGATCTTTGACAAAAGCTTTTATTTTTAGTTTTACTTTTTTGTTTGTTTGTTTTACTTTGTCATCCCTGTGCACTCTGAAACTTGAGCATGAATGTTACCTTCATCTCTGGAAGTTCTTGATACATGTGGAAAGCCTTTCTCCCCATTTCCAGCTAGTTACTCTAGTGGGCTTGATCCTGCAAACACATATGACCAGTGGCAGCCATAAGCATGAAATTAGCTCCTCTGCAAGCAATGGGGCTGTTGTTTGATCATTAAATGATATATCTGAGCTAGATTTGTGGCTGGTTCAGAGGTCCCTGCTAGGGGTTTAAGGGCTGGATCCACCGTGAATCGCTGGATGCTGGTGTTAAGAGTGCAAGAGGCTTTCTAGGTGTTAAACTAACCATGGGATAGGTTATAAAAGTTCTCTTGATTTCCAAAAAAAGGGTTTTGTAATTGTTTAGCTGTTTCTTGACTCTAAAATCAGTGCCAAAACAGCCAGATGTGGCAGTTGCACAGCTAGCTTTACAACCCAGCATGTAGAAATGTTTGGTTAGAGACAGGGCTTCTCAGGAATCTCTACCTGCTTTGAGAGAGCCTCCACTGTGGTCTGCTGAAACCCTCAGGCAAAGTAGCTGTCCTGGGTCTTCACTGCACATTTGAAATTGATGGGATAAGGTCTTGTCCTCGCAGTCGGTCATGTATGTCTGCCAGGTGGCTGTGATCACTGACTGCAGCAAGTGAAAAATCAGCAGGCAAGAGCAAATGAACGTGAAAACTCTAATAACAGTGGACAACATAGCATGCAACAGGCTTTGCCAGGTATTTTCAGTATTTCCTTTCATCTACCCTGAAAGCCTGACAAATCATAGCTTGGCAACAGAGACTGATCTATATATGACTTTTGCTGCATCTGTAGGTGTCTGTGTACAGTCCTGGCTGTGGTGTAAGGAAACAAAATTAGTATTTTAAGTGCCCAAACTAAAGTAGTTTTCTTTCTGTCCCTACCCCCACCTCCCAGCACCAGAGCTGTGCTGGCAGCTACTCCCTGGATCAATGCATTAGCTGCTCCTAGGTTGCCTTCACGTTGTCTCCCAAGAAAAGATTAAGAAATGTTAAGGCCTGCTAATTAACACAGTCTAAAAGATCAGTGTAGAAGGAGAGACCAAGGTATGCATTAATGCCTTTTGAGTCATTCAAAATAGTTGTTGAGCGTCAGATTTAGCTGAACTGTGTTGCCATAAAAACTGCATTCTGCTAACTGTAATTGTAGTGCACCAGCTAATTCTTTCTGACACTATTTTTTTAGCTCTCTAATCCAATTTCTACAACATAATGTTTCACGAGGCATTTTTGAATCTTAGTTGAGGCAAAGACTTGTCTCTGTGTGACTGTTCCTCCTGGCTCCTCTGTTTCATCTCCAGCAGGACAGGCTTACTTTGCTTCAGGGTACCTCCGATCCCTGCTAAGACTATGCCTGGATAAGTGCGTGGCATTTGTATTTGGGCCCACTGTAATCTGAAACATTTCCTTAACAAATGGAACTTTTCTACTGTTTAATTAGTCAAGTAATGGTTGGATGGATTTAAGTCTCTTTCTTACTAACAAACCAATTTATACTTTGTTCAAAGGTGGTGTGTTGGTCATGAGGAATGTAGCTCTAGATGGGGCAGTTTTGATGCCAGATGCCTCTCACTGTCAGTTACAAGTTACATTGGTCTCACTGTGGTAGGAAACTTCCAGGCAACATTACCTCAAATACAGGACTGCAGAGTGCCAGGTGTGAGTTTATGCTTCTCTTTCCTCATGGTATTGAGCTTTTTCTCTCTACCTTGTGAATTTGGAAGCCTAATTCATGTACCTGAGCACATGCATCTGCCTTGTATGTCTCCTGCTGCTGCAGTGGTACCAGTTCCCCTTCAGTTTGGTGTCCCACCTCCTGCATCCTACAGCGTTGTTCATGACACCAGAGAGCATTTCAGATGGTGCTGGCTGTCTGTGTGCAGGCTCTTTAGCTCAGCTCTCAGAAGACCAAATAGTGAATCTTTCCTGGCAATGTGAATTCTCTTGGGTTTTGTTTGCCTTCTGTTCTTTCCAATATTGAGAAGCAGGGCAGAAATTCTATTGTCATCTTTTTGTCTAGACAGAGCTGGGCGCAGTGTCTGAAGCCTGGTGCAGGAGTGGTTTCTATGCTTCTCCAACTCAAAAACAAAGTTATAAGATTCTTTGCCAATGAATTTCATGCTGTTTTGGCAGCCTGTGTCCCAGCAGGCTTTAGTCTGTTTGGCTAAGCAGATTCAAAATAATTTGAAAAATAATATTTTTTTTCTTACCACTGATATGCAATTACACTTACATGTAAGCCAGTAAACCTATATAGAGTGGACTTCAGGCAAAAAAGCAATTTGCTATTAGCAAATTAGGTGTAGTGGTGCAAGTGGACTAATGGGCGCAGCAGTGGAGAAGATAACACTGAGTAGCCTGAGAGTAGGGGGTCTGTGCCTCTGGAATCCCCTACTGGTAGTTCAAGGGGTCTTTCACCTCCCACCCTACTCCGGCCTTTTCTAAAACTTCAAGCCATAAGCAAAAGTTGACATTTAAAGCTTCAAAGCAAAGTCATTAGTTAATGGGTAAGAGAAAGAGGATCAGAAATTTCAGTCAGAGTATCTTTGGAACTGCTGGCTGCTGGATGTAATAAGGTGTAGTCCATATATACTAGCTTGTAATCAAATGTGGGAAAAAAGAACAATTTACAAACATATTGGGTGTTTAACATTGTTCTTGGAATGTAATAGTCTGGAGTCTGCCGAGTGGGCAGAGGGACAAGGAAAGGAAAGTAGTTTTTGGACTTTCGTCCTGACTCATCTCCAATCTTTATTATCTGTTTACACATGAATTCTCATGTGATCTCTTAGTAAAATTTAATATCTCTTTTGTGCCATTCACCAACATGAAAATGGACAGAAGCTCATCTACTCTGTATAAATATTTTACATATTTGCATAAACCTGCCTGTTAGATGCTGTTTGCTCAAGAGAAAGAAGATGACCACAATCAATGTGAGCTCACCATCAATTTTAGCATCTTTCTTCTCTTCAGGCTAAGTCCTTCAAGACAGCCAGTCTTTCTCATTATGTATTTTTGCCTCTAGCCTATAACTGAGACACCAAGGATGATGTCTAACAGCAATATTATTTAAGGAAAGTTAATGGTAGCAGTGATGTTACACAACACTTGTATTTCCTTCTGCTCCTTTTCATTTATACCTGAAAATAAGAGTTGTTCTCACAGACTTCACTGTGAGTGAAAAAAAGCTACTATGTTCCCCAAGCTTCTGTTTGTATTTCTTGTGTAAATACACGTGTGGATTTACACAACACTGGTTCTTCACATAGATTAAATTGTAGGCGGCTCTCAGATATTTTACAAATTTTGAAGGCTTTTCCAGTGTCCTTATTGCTATTTTCTAGAGCCCTCTGGTGGGGGGAAATTAGAAAAATATGAAGCGTCAGCTTACTGGTAGGGAAAACACTATAAATTGAAGAGGGACAGTTTTTGCCATCACAATAACATCACAAGACAGCCTTGTTATTTTTGAATCACAAAGAACACTCATAGCAATAACAGGATATATATTAGAATGAGATCAGTCACTAATTTCAAAGAGTTAATTTATAGAGAAATTTGGGCAAAGATCCTGTTCCTTGCTATTTCTGAATACTAAAGATCTCAGGATGTGCATTTGCTCTTTCTCGGAATCAGAAAAAGAAAAGCCCAGAACATTATATCAAAGGAAGAAATAACTTTTCTGTTTCCTCGAAAGGATTAAGTCTAGCCCATAAAAAGCAGAAAACTGGTACAACAATGGCTTTTTGGATTGCATGAGCCAAGTCAATTGGCACTGAGAAGAGAGATTACTTCTTTGATCAAGGTGGAAATATTTTATTTAAAGTAAAAAGTCGATTTCTTCTGAAGCTTCTCATTAAAACTCTTTTGGAAGCCTCAGTATATTTTGTCTTCCACTTTTGGGCCAAGTCTTCAGGCTGCTAAGGGTGGTGAGGGGAACTGGCAAGTGCTGAAGGCAGAAGCAGACACCCTGCAATGTGAGGCCTCACTTTTTTGTTGAAGTCCAAACAGCCAAAGCCTTTTGTTAAAGGCCCACAAGAATCAGTTTGGCACATAACTGTTGGAGTCCTCCTGCAATCTCGAGAATCAGGCCATTTAGAAGCAAAAGGAGAAGAAGACACAAAACTGAATTCTGATTACAGTGAAAAATACTTGTAGTGCTTCAATTCACTTTTGCCTTTGAGATGGAAATCCATCACAAAGTTTAGCTTATTCTGAAAGTGCATTTCATTTTCTAGGGGTTTATGCCCAAATAATGCCTGCATAGGACAATTTTTCCAAACCAGATTGCTTCATGCTGGATTCCTTGGTAATTGCTTTGTTTGCTAGTGGAGTTCTTGAAGATAAAATTTGTAAAATACTCACCATCACTGTAAGGCAGGACATTTTTACCAGATTCCCTGAGGGTGTATAATGTAACCTTATATTGAAAGTTGATGATCATCTTGCTCCCTAGCTTCTTTAAACAACTTTCACTCCCTATTTACAGACACCCAGCTGCAGAATCTGCCTGTGCATGCTGAGGTTTGTCTGTATCTTCTGTCACATTTAACCACCTAGAGTTCAAAGTACACAGGATACCCTTAGTCTTTGTGTTTCAAACTTACCCATGTATTTTAAGCACAACTGGTACCTGACTGGGCTTTAACTGTTTGCACAACAATGCGCATTTCTGTCCAACTATGCAAAAGAAAGCAGGTAAGGATGGCTCTACTCCACAAACTGAAGCAGTTCTAACTTGACACACCAACTTCCCAAGTGTTTTTGGACACAGCTCTGCATATGTCTCCCTGCGATGCAGGATTTCATTGAGTAATTGAAGTACATCCATTCCAGTAGGCTTGGGCAGTAAAATATCAGAGAGCCCAGGACATCGAGGTGAAACCATTAGCAGTCTTATTTTGCTTGCAGGATGGGACAGCTCCCTTGTGGATCGCCTCACAGATGGGTCACAGTGAAGTGGTGCGAGTCATGCTGCTCCGTGGTGCTGAGCGAGATGCTGCGAGGGATGTGAGTAGCACTTCTTCCTGCACTCTGTCTGCAGCTTAATGCCTCCTAGCTTTTTCAGGGACTATAAGTCGGACTGTCTGAAGGCCTGGTGTCCCCAGAGTCCTCCCTGTTTGCCAGGTTGAAAAGTCCCACCTTGGGTTTCGTTTTTCCTGCTGTGTCTGGGACAGCTTCCTGGAGGTACCTTCTGGAATAGGGGAATGGAAATGTCCACATAGATGAGAGACAAAGGCGATGGGTATATGGTGCCACTGGTTCATTTTTCCCTGAAGTTTTCACATGCCAGAGGAACAATCCTCCAGGTGCCCTAAAACCAGCAGCACATGCTGTGGGAGGTGCCTCCTCAAAGACGATGAGCAGAGGAGATCCTCCTCTCAGAGGCATGGGCGAGAGCTGGTGTTTCTCTCCAGCCAAGGGGAATACAGGTAAAGCATCTGTAACAGCAGAACTGACCTCCTCTCTCTTTTAAAGGATGGTACAACTGCTTTACTGAAGGCTGCCATTAAAGGATACAACAATGTAATAGAAGAGTTGCTGAAATTCTCTCCCACGCTTGGCCTGCTTAAGGTTAGTAGTTAAACACACAGATTTTTAGACAAAATCTCAAAAAGGCAAAGGGTCTGGTGAAAGACCTGGAATTTATGATTGTGCTAGTGGAATACTATAGGAGCTTGAGCCCAAAAAAAGTCAAGAGAAAAATGAAATTATCTTATTTAACTTTTAATGCCACACATAAAAGAATCTTTTCAAACAAATGTGGGAATTTAATTTCTGGAATGAGGAAGCACATCATGTCATAGAAGGAATTCTCCTGCTTTTTGTCACCTGATTTTATTTCTACTCTAAATTAATTGCTCTTGACAGTGCAATTTTTAGCATTATACTCAGCCCTCTTTTGCATTTAGTCAGCAAAATAGTGTCCTAAGAAATACGTTGCAAGCAGATTCTCTACTTGATTTTGTTTTTCTCTGAATTTTTAAAGTCGCTTGAAAAATAACAGATATTTGGAAGCTACTTTTTAATGGCTGACCTAATTTTATATGTCTATAAGTCACATACTTTGATAGCCTCTGTGCATTCAACAGATTGGCAATTTTGATGTACTTGATAATGTAGATGTTAATTACAAGTATGAAATAGCTTCCACACTTTTTTGAACTGTCAGTTTGCAACCACAAAGAAAAGGCCAGCCATAAAAAACCCCACCATTCAGCTGTCTGACAGTGAGGCCATTAATCATCAGAAAAAGAAGATAAAATGCACAGATGGTTTCCATTACTGCTTGCGCTTCTGTTTCACTTGCTAATGACTGATTTTGCCAGGTAGAAGCAAGTGCTATGTTCATTTCACCTCTAATCTATTGACAAGGGTAATTTTTAAAAGGAATTATTGCTGTGGTAAAGTGAACTTGACTCTCGTTTTTATTGTCATGTCATGTCATGGCTAGGCTTCACGAACGAAGATTTGGGAAGGGCTCTACCCACGTTTGTTGCAAGTGCGTTGGTGGCTAAAAAGGCCAATACGAGAGAGGCATGTCCGATTGCAAAAGGCACAGCAGAAAGACTCCTTAGATGGTATATTCTGCAAGGCTCGATTCTTTCTGCGTTGTCTTTTCTCCTCAAGGGTGATCCTGCATGCTTTCTCAAAGGCATCAGCAGCGTTATAGATGGTGTGTCTCCAGGCCTCCCGATTGGAGGCCAGAGTAGACCAGTTATGATGTTCAATATGGCCAAGGCTGAGATGTTGTTTCAGGGACTCCTTGTATCTTTTCTTCAGGGCTCCTCTCTTGCGGCAGCCAGTGGCAAGTTCACCATAAAGCAGGATCTTAGGGAGGCGGTGGTCCTTCATCCTGGAGATGTGCCCTGCCCAGCGCAGCTGTGTTCTCGTTTTTATTAAAGCATGTAAAATCACCTCCTTCATAGCCCCCTTAGCTGCCAGCACCCTGTCTAAACCAGACACTAGGCCTTTGATGGCCCAATCTCTTCTATGTTACTGCTCTCTCATTCATAGGTTTGTTCTTTACAAACATTTGTGTTTTAATGCCTTTTACTTTCTTCCCATGTCTGGTACAAACACCTCCATTGGTATTTCTAGAATGGGACCTCTGCTCTCCACGCAGCTGTCCTGAGCGGCAACGTGAGGACAGTGGCACTGCTCCTTGAGGCAGGAGCGGACCCATGCCTGAGGAACAAGGTATGTCCTGGCACACCATCCTAGGTGAGGAGCAAGTGGGGATCACTGAACAGTGGAGCCGTGTGTGCCTTGGAGGTGTGGGCAGCCCATGTTTCCGTGTTGCTCTGTGGTTGCCTCTTGACCCTGTCCTGAAGCACCACCATTTAGTCCATTCATTTCTGTATATGAGTATAAGGGTGATAGGCAGTGCCACTAGTGATGCTGGTTCTTGAAAATTTACATCAATCTGAGAATAAACCAAAGCACTCACTAGAGCACCACAGATTAAATTGTTAACTATAACTAGTCATGCGCTAGCTAGGTTGCATTTTAGGGAAACAGTAATCTGTTACTGTTTTGATAAATTGTAAGTTATATTCGTATCTCCATAATGATGTATAAGGAGGATATTTCTGCAGAAAGAAAAATGTGTATCTAGGTACCTTTGATGAGAAAACTTGGTTAGAATTCAGGGCATTGCTAATACAAAAAAAACCCCTCCAAAATTACATGCATCTTTCCCATATCTTACTGTAAAGCTGTTAGTTTATTTAATTAGTTTTGCATTCTTTTTATAATGGCAACGTATCTGTACAATACTTGTCTTGATTTTATTCTGTAAAGTGTTTTAACTTTAACTTTACATCTTTGATAATTTCAATGAAAATGTTTTCTTTCCTCTGACGTGTGTTTCTGAACTGTTTGCTGAGAGTGTTTGATATATAGCTGGGTTTGTTAAGCTGTGAATGGATGGTCTAGTGTTAACTTCTGGTTTATGACTGAGTGAATGAAAGCTTATAATACAAGTAATCAGGCACATACCTTCTAAATATTTTGCGCTTTTAATATATCTGTGGCTGTTAATTTCTGTATTATTCCACTTGATGGCAGCAGAGTTAACAGCATTCACACAGTAGTCTTCATTAGTATGCACTTTGGTTTGATACTGTAATCCAAACGATGTATGACATTTTTCTGTTACTGATAGTGATTTGCAGCAGCAGGGTTTTTAGTATGAAAAAGTCCGTGGCTGTAACCTCTCCTACTGACTTTTTAATTTTTTTTTTAAATAACATTCAATTTGGCACGACAGAGTATATCTGCAGGACATAATTACTGATTTTCAGAAGTAGCTTCATTATAAATGCTTTATCTTACCAAAATTATATTCAATTAATTAAGAAGAAAACCCACCCAAACTCATATTCTATTACCAATCTTACAGCATAGCACCACTATTTCATAGCCATTAAAGTCTTCCCTTGGATTTTTATGGACTTTAGTACATAAAGACCTGCCTCATCTCCCCCAAAAAATCAGCAGCTATGCTCTCTGTTATTTCTGTGGCAGAAGCATAGGGAGGCCAAGGGATACCATTTAGCCTGGATAGTCAGCACAAAATAAGCTGATCACTCAAATTCCATGCTGGGATTATTTTGAAGACTTAAGTGAGACTTGCACATGAAAGACAATTTCTTAAGGTACCTTCAACAGTGGTGGAGACAACACTGGAAAGCATCACATCATTATAATACCCAGTTCCATCTTCTTTAGAGTTTAATGCTTTTAAACCACATTTGGGAAATATTCCTTCTTTTCTGCTAACCTCAAAGTATTTTTTGTTCCAGGCAAATGAACTGCCAGCAGAACTAACAAAAAATGAACGCATCCTCCGACTCCTCCGTGCAAAGGAAAAGCAAAGGAAAAGCTAATGCAGCCCTGTAGCAAATGCAATTTGACAGAGATGTGCCCTGACCACAGCAGCATGACAGTAAACCTAGGCTACCTGAGAAGGGCTTGTTGGAACAGTTTCAGAACTGATTAGCCTCTCCGGTACATGCTCCCTGAATGCACGATGCCCTTGCCATAGGGTCACCACAGGCTAAGGCCTCCGCCTGGCATCACTAGACGCAGGACTATGACAAGAGCAGGGTCAGTCCAGGAGCTGCATTTGCACTGCAGCCCTGCCCGTAGTCCAGGATCCCACCACTCCCAGCACCAATGTTTGCTCCTCCACGCCTCCAGCATACACATCCCCACACAGGCGAGCATTCCTGCTGTTTCAGACACGCATCCCCATGGCCACATACCTGTAACAGGTGCCTGGGGGTGCATGTGTGGGTTGGGAGCACTCGGCCCTTGTGCCAGAAGGATGCCCAGACCTTGCAGCTCTTTGGATTCAGATGGTCCTGGCACGGCCCCACGGTGCTGCTGCCCTCCCTTTGCTAACAGTGCTAGCTCAGATCATTCCTCTCTACCTCCAAGTGCCACGTGAGGCTAGAGGTGAGATCCTGCCTGCAATATCAAAACAGGAAAAGTCCTCCTGCCAGCCCAGGGTTTTGGTAACATTTTTGCTACTACATGAAACTCCATAAAAATGATCAAGAGCATTACGAATGATGCCGAAAGCTATCAACCAAACAAAAAGCAAGGAAATGTCCTCTCAGCCGTAGCATCTTGATCTGTCAGTCTGTCCAGCAACAGAAACACGGTGGAGCAGTTGATTTTGCAATGCCTATGCAGTGCTGTGGGGATCCATCCCCAACCTTACAGTCTGCATATGTGCATTTTTCTGGGTAGGGGAGGACCAGTTATTGAGCAAACCAACAAGGACATAAATCCACTGGCACAAGTACATCAGAAATTTAGCTGTTGGGCACAACAAACAGTACAGACACTATACAGGTGGTATACATATGTTCTGCACCCACAGATATGTGACACTATGGTTTAGTACCCACAGCTACTATGCAACACACTTGTTCCACAGGTCTGTGACAGGTATTTCAACAGCTGGTTAGGGTAACACGTAGTCATACTGAACAGGCCCACTAATTAATGCAGGCATGGAAAATGAACTCTCAACAGCAGTTTTGGCCTTTGTTGTGGTTAAGACACTTAGACATGCTACTAGTGCCTGTGTGGGGAAGGCAGTGCAAATTGCAGGTGGTTTGTAAAGAGCTATGTTTTAACCATGTTACTGTAAGACACCCCATTAAAATCCAGTCATTTTTGCCACATAAACAGTATATACCACGTCCTGTTGGCCACAAAAACATTAGAGATTAATTTACAATGAGTTGAGGTAAAAAGTTAATTCAGTACATAAACACAGGCACTTCACCTGCCTTCAAAGACTGTAAGGAAATGATATGTTACTTGCTTAAAAAATGTCTGCCTAGGATTCAGCTGAACTGTTGCACTTTTGCTTTAGTGAGTTAAAAGGAAATCTTTTAGTGAGCTAGCACAAATGAATGTAATTTGTGTAGTGAAAATTAGCCATATATATTACCAAATCATAAAGTTATTCTATCTGTAAGTTAGGTAAGAAGTCAATGCTCTGATGAAGAGAACAGAAGTGGTTGTACCTTTGCTTGCATGCTGGAATTGCTATTCAATTTCTATTCAGCATTAAAGAGGAAAGCTCTTAAGTTTTCCAACAATGTAATAGGATACCAGAAAAGTCTATTTGTTTAGGTAATTTATGCTGCTTTTAAATTAAAATAATGTTGTGCCTAAGAGAAACTTGCATATGAACTGGTACAGAATCAAAGAATTATGCAAGATGCTTAGAGGATGGCTGTATCCAGGGTTAAGTTCTGCAAAGACTAAAAAATACTGAGCATGCAGAAATCTCAAGAGCTTTATTGGGAACTTAAGTTGCACAGCATTAGATGGGACTGCACTCTGACTTCTTTAACAAGCAGCACTGGAGAGGACAGGTTTATTTAGAGCCTCCAGTGGGCTGAATATGAACATATTGTTTTGAAGAAAACTAGAAGAACTCTAGGGCAGCGTGGTCTCAATATTGAACTTTCTCCCTGAATTTTCTTCAGATCAACAATTGGGAACAACCACACACTCAAGATGAAAAGCTCTTTCATATTGGTAAAGGAGGTGAATAATCATTAGAAGGTCTTCAGTAGCCATGCAGTAAATACTCTGAATATCACATGGGCTGTAGTGATCAAGTAGTCTTTCTAAAAAATGTGGAAGCATCCACTGTTGGTGAGGGTCTCCAAATTTTTCCTGATAGCAGAGCATGGAAAAGAGAACAAGGCAAGCCAACACTGGTCCTGCAACTGCTGAAGTAAGCAAGCTGAGAAAACAATATGCAGGTGTCCAGTATCTGCTGGTGGCCAGGTTTATTTTCTTTGGAGAGTCATCTCACCCCAAAGGGGGTAGCTACTCAGCAAAGAGCTTCCTCAGCTATGCCTGTCCATGGGAAGATGCATGTCTGCTCCCCACCATTTAGAGTACGACTTTCCAAGTCCTGTGTCCAGCTGCCTCCTTGAAAGGTCACCACAGCCAGGGCTCTTAAGAGACGTGTGAAGAACACCTGGGGTGCTGTGTCCTGTACAGAGCATCTGCTGACATTCTTCCAAGAGAATGCAGTTACCTGGTCCTCTTGTTTGGTTGGTTTTTTTTTTTGAGACAGTGATATTGGGCTATAGCTGGCTTTTCTTATTTCTAAATAAAATTTGAAATGTAGGGCTAGCACAGGTTGAAGGGAGAGGCTTGTTGCTCTTTCATTGCTCTTCTTAGTGTTGGCTTATAGACCACACAGGTTGGGGGTGAGGGGGAGCTGCACAGTGGAGAACTGCCTGTCAAGTCTTTCTCTGCCCCGCTCAGGCTGAAGTTCAATCTAGTTTCATCAAAGACACTATTCAACCAAAACAGGACTTTTAGTGGAAACCTTCCTGTTGGGAGCATCTGTTTCATCTTGGAGCCTTTGGAGAGAGAGCTGGTTTTAGTTCTGGGTTTCCTGTAACCAAAAGGTGCTTTTTCTGCCTGTAGATGGGCTTGAAAGTTGCAATACTGTTTATCACCATGCAATTAACCTTTTCACAAAGAAACCTTAATAATTCTTAGTATTTATGTAGCTGTTGTTATCTTTAAAGTGCTCAGTAAATACCACTGTGGTTTCTTTGTTGTTCTAAAACAGAAACCTGCTTTCCCGTGGTGGCTGAAGTGATTCACTAATATTGACAGTAATCCTTTGCATAGTCGTGGTGCCTTTTGTGTAAGGCTTTCAAAGTGCTCTGTGGACACTCTTACCTTTGTAAGTTCCTAAATGCATTGTGGAGGGAAGCAAGGAAATAGATGATTTCATTCACATGCCAGTGAAATGAAGCAGCTCTTCATCAGTTCATGTCAATAGATGAGTAAATTTAGACTAGAAATTAAGGGGCACCAAATTTATTTCATAGATGGCAGGATGAATCCTGGTACAACATAATGTTGTGAAATAGAACTGGGACAGTTTAACAGGCCAAATTGGTTTTTGAGTTAGGTTTGTTTTTTTTTTTTCACCAGAAAGTGCCATATACATACCCATCTTACACCCCAAAAGAATCAGCTCCACTAGCATACTGCTATTAGGCTTGCTTCTCTGCACATTCAGATCCAGGGGCCTAGCCTGTTGTCCTATTCGTATGGGATTTAGGCAGGTGCTATTAGCTTGGTGGCTTCCCATCAGCTGCAAATGAGTAGAAAGAATGTGCAACCAAACAACAGGCTACACCAGTGAGTCAAGGAAAAGCATACAGCATCTTTCTTTTATTTCACTAGTGTCAAGCCATTGTAGGATGGGGAAGAGCACAAGGAAAAGCTCATGGGGTATAGGGAGAAGTGGCATAACATGAGTGACATGGTAGTGGTGTAGCCTCAGATGTGTCAAATACATGGAGTTCTTCATTTAGATGATCACTGCAGTGCAGTGTGGAAGGAACATCTATTTAGTAATGATACAAATGGCAGTGTTGTACCTCTTGACTTGCACATGCTCTTCTTCTGGAACAAAACCATCTCACTATTGATCCACCCACCTTTGTTTAGTTTAGAAGAGCTGAGAGGATTAGAGCACAAGATCAAATAGCTGCAGGTCATATTTAATGCACTTTAACAACGATGATTATCTGCCTCAGAGTCAGAGCTAATTGCAAGAATAATTCACACTTCTTTATTCAGCCAGTCTTGGTGACTATTGGAAAATCCATAAGCTAACCAAATCCAGTGTCTCAGAAATTTCAGAACTGTTGTACAGAAAATGAGGTAGCACAAACCCCAGTCCATTTGTACTTAATTTGATATGAACACTGAATGGACATAAAATACAGCTATTGCCTGGAACCCTTGAGTCATTGGTGTTAAAATGTTAATGTTTGCTGCGAGCCTAACCAAAGATAATACACAAGGCTCCTTTTTCCAGCAACAGAATATTGTACTGCACACCTGGGACTAAATGGAGTTGTGCCTTCTTACAGCAGCTCTGCTTTTGGCCCTCCGGAATGTCATGATTTTTCATACTTTTCTGAATTCCACAGTTTGTTTTGACCTGACCTTTTATGAATTTGATAAAACATATATAAATGTATGTAATGCCATATAAGACTAATATTCTGCAACAGGAATGTTGCTTTGCATACCATCATTTCAATAAAAATATACTATTTGGATTATCTTGTTCTGCATATTTAGTGTTTCTTTCCTTTCTTCTGTATTCTACTCTTTCTCCTTGTACAATACCAGAATTAGTTTCCTATTTATGCAAAGACCACTTTGCTATATTTCACTTGATTGATTAGACTTTTATTGTTTTCCAGGTCCTCACAGATAAGATGGCATTCATGGGAAAGAAAAAAAAACAAACCCAAAAAACCAAAACAGGTGCCTTGGCTTGAGAAACAGGAAAACTTAATTTAGCATGACATAAGAAGGTTTGCTTCAAAGATCCAGATGTCACTGACAAACTCCCCATGACATTAATATCCATTAGGTCAGATCTGTCTGAAGGGAAGATTATAAAAAGCAACATAGGAATCAAAGGAATAACACTGTACTTGTAGTCAAATGTGTCTTGGTGGTTCTGTTATTATTCCTAAATGTAAAACTGGCCCTTACACTGATCTGATGTACTTCAGTTTAAAAAAAAAAGTCAACACCCTGTTGACATGCTTATTATGGTGTGCAATGGATTATGCGCTTTATAAAAGGGGAAAAGAGTTTACACTGAAAACCATATTTTTCATCTTGTCTTTGACATCCCAGGCTTTTTGCCTTATTCCTACAACCTTCTATTGAATTGAGCTACATTTTAAGTCATTATCAAAAATTCCTACAGCCACAACTCAGTAAAGCATCTTCATCTATTCTGAGAATATCAAAGAAAAGTGCTGTGACTTGTTTATGGCCTAAATCACTGCAAAGGATGATTTCTGGGAGTGGGAAGCTCCTTAATTTTGCACATGAAAGCGTATCAAAACAATATCAAGAGGCTGAAACCAGACAAATTCAAACTTCAAGCTGTGGATTTTCAGGAGTGAGGATAATTATTTAAGAAACAAATTGTTGAGATGATTCCTTCATAATTTGAGTTTAAAAAAAAAACAACAAACAAATCCTTTTCATTCTGAAAGACGTAAGACATGTTTCACCTGAAACATTTTTTGTTTGATGCAGGAATTACTGGGTGAAATTATATGATATGCTGGAAGTAACATTATGTGATCATAATAGTCCCCTTGATCTTAAAATATATGAATCAATATACTTTTTGCTTCATCTCCTCAGTGACAGAGAGATGCTAGCTCTCATGAGATCAATAACAAGACCATATGCCTAGCAACTCTGGCTGTAGCTGCACAGCAAAATGAAATCTGAGACACATACCTAAGTTGTCTCTAAATAATCCATTTAGCTCTCACAATGTTGACAAGGCATTTTAGCTGGACTAATGTTTTAATGTCCTACTTTTAATGTCAAGTCAGTTGGTTC